TCACAACCCTAATACTAACCTTAACCTAACCCTAACCCTAGCTCCAACCTAAACGCTAACCCCAAACCCAAACCTAACCCTAATCCCAACTCCATCATGAATGTTAACTGCAACCCTAGCTCTAACCCTAACCCTAACCCAAACATAATCACAACCCTAACACTAACCCTAGCTCCAAGAAAACCCTAACACTAACCCAACCCTAGCTCCAACACTAAATCCTACCCTTTAACCTTAAACTTAACCCTAAACTCAACCCTAACTCTAGTCCTAACCCCAAACACAAGCCAAATCCCAGTGCCAACCCAATCCCAAACATAACCATAACCCTAGTTCTAACCCTAAACCCTAACCATAACACCAACTCTAACTCTAACCCCAAACCCAACCCTAACACTAACCCTAACAGCAATCATAACCCTAACCTAACCTAACCCTAACCCTAGCTCCAAGCCTAACCCTAACCTTAAGTGAGGTGTGCTGGAGACTGGATGGACAACATAGTTATCACAGAACCACCCCATACATACAGACATGGTGCTTCCTCTAGAATATGCCTTACATTAGGCTACAAAACAAAAACTTAAAAATTCTATATATTTTTTTATCACAATGAGATAAAGTCAATAATGTCATGAAGGGAGTATAATTTTTTAAGAAAGAGTGTTTCACTGTGTAATCTGGTTGAGCTAGAACTCACTATGTAGACAAGGCTGGCTTCAAACTCACAAAAATCAGCCTGTCTCTGCCTCCTGAGAGCTAAGATTAAAGATGGAGCACACCTTTGAATGAACTTGAAGGAAAAGTAAAGACCAAGAGAAACTTTTTTCAAACTATATACAGTAAAGAACTTGTGTCCACCAATGACTGTTTATGCTGGAGAGGATGTGGAGAAAGGGGAACACTCCTCCACTGCTGGTGGAAGTGCCAACTCGTACAACCACTTTGGAAATCAGTATGGAGATTTCTCAGGAAAAATGGAAATCAGTCTACCAAAGATCCAGCAATTCCACTCTTAGGCATATACCCAAAAGATGAGCATTCATAAAACAAGGACACTGTTCCACTATGTTCATAGCAGCATTATTTGTAATAGCCAGAACCTGGAAGCAACCTAGATGCCCCTCAACTGAAGAGTGGATAGAGAAAATGTGGTGCATTTACACAATGGAATGCTACTCAGTGGGAAAAAAAAACCAATGGAATCTTGAAAATTGCAGGCAAATGGATGGCACTAGAAGAAACCATCCTGAGTGAGGTAACCCAGTCACAAAAGGACAAACATGGTATGTACTCTCTCACATGAAGCAGGGGAGTGCCTGCCTACAATCCCACTGCCAGAGAGTCTGGGAAACAAGGAGGACCCTAAGAGAGACATGCATGGTACCCCAGAGAAGCAGAATGGGACAGGATCTCCTTAATGGAGAGGGAGCTGGGAAAAAGAGAGGGGGAGAAGAGGAGGGGAGAGGAGGACATGGGGGAGCAGGAGGGTTGAGTCAGGGGAAGAATAGAGGAGAACATGATGAGAGATACCATAATAGAGGGAGTCATTCTAGGTTTGAGGAGAGATCTGGCACTAGTGAGATTTCCAGAGATCTACAAGGATGACAACAACTGGCAATCTAAGCAATAGTGGAGAGGCTACCTTAAATTCCTTTCCCCGATAATAAGATGGATGACTAGAGCCTTCATACAATGGCTGATGGAAGCAGAGGCAGACACCCACAGCTAAACACTGAACTGAACTCCTGGAACCCAGTGACAGAGAGGGAGGACTGATGAGCAAAGGGGTCAAGACCTAGTGGGTAAAACCCACGGAAACAGCTGACCTAAACAAGGGGGAGCTCATGGACCCCAGACTGATGGCTGAGAGGCTAGCATGGGACTGATCCAGACCCCCTGAACGTGGGTGTCAGTGAGGAGGCCTTGGCAATCTTTGGGGCCTCAGATACTAGATCAGTATTTATCCCTGGCAAACAAATGGACTTTGGGAGCCCATTCAATATGGAAGTGTGCTCTCTCATAGGCCACATGGGGGAGGGCCTATGACAGACTTTGAAGATTCCCCCATGAAGAGCCTCAACCTCCCAGGAGAGTGGAGTGGGGACTAGGTGGGGGGTTGGGGAGTTGTGAGGGGGTGGGGGAGGAGGGGAGGGAGAGGGAGCTGGGATTGACATGTAAAACAAGCTTGTTTCTAATTTAAATAAATAAAGAAAAAAGAAAAAAAACTTGTGTCCAAGAAAAAGGGCTCTGGAAATTAAGCAATTAAAATCAGCCCATGTAGAAAACATGCATAAGACAATGATAGACATTTAGCCTTAGGAGGTTATGAGTGACAAATACTTGAAAGATGTTTAACATCATTAGCCAGTAAAAGGGTGTAGTTTAAGACCAGATGTGGCATTCCAGGATAAAAGCATTGAGACATGCAGTTGGGTGGATCAAGGCCTTGAGGAGCTCAAGGTCAGAGGATGGAGAGTTTGATGCCAACCAAGGTTACACAGTGAGTTGAAGGCCAGCCTGAGCTACTACAGTGAGATGCTGCCTCAAAAAAACAAAAATGATAAGAAATAATACTTCCATTCTAGAAAACATGACATAAATGTTTCTTATTGTGGACTTTCACTCAGCGATAAAAGGAACAAATTCCAAATCAAACAGTGGTCCCACACTAAGATTCCACACACTCAGCATTCTCAAAATCGCTAACTGTGAGGATGGAAACCCAGTTGGTTCCTAGAGATCACAGATGGTGAGGTGGAGGCTGGAAAGACTCTTAGTAACTGTGTGTCCCCAAGGAAGTCAGTTGCCCTCTCTGAGCTTCGGTTTTTATTCCATAGAATGACCATTTCCTCATAGATCTCAGTTGTTTGTATTTTACCTTACAAACTCTTTGCCAAGCCACTTACAGCCTAATGTTTCACTTACTTTCATAGAGATCATACACTCATTTTACCAGCCTGAGCAGTGTTATGTAAAATAGCACTAGATCCGGAACTGACTTGTTCTCTGTGGGAAGTAAACATGTTTTACTTTGCTACCTACAAATCACACTGCCAGTGACACCAGCACACACCAGATAAGTTTCAGAGGGAGAAAATGAAGTCAGATTTGAAATATCACTTAATAGAAACCCTGGCCCCGTATTTCAGCGGGAACCAATACCATAAGGCCATGTGAGGTCTGAGGCAGGTGGTTATGTCATTTCTGGGATTTCAGCCTCATTGATGTCTTCTCACTTATTCTACCGCAGCCACATTCTACTCCCGTGCTCTTGTTAGAATGCCTTGAGCTTTCCTGCCTTGGGGCTTGGTTCTCCCTGTTCTCTCTGCCTGGAAGACTCTAGGTTTAAGTGAATCAAGTCCTCAGGACACTCAAGTTCCATTTAATGTCATTTCCTCATAGATGGCTTTTCCCACTACTCTGCCAAAAGTATCTACACATGCCACACCACACACACACACACACACACACACACACACACACACACACGCATGCACACACCACATATACATTCACACCTTACCATATACATACACTACACACATATAAATTCATACCATGCCTCACCACACACACCACATACACATTCACACCATACCATACACACACCACACATACACATTACATGCATTATATTATTACACTGTGGGAGTCCACAGTGACCCCATTCCTTCTTGACTTAAGGTCAGAGAGTTCAAGCTTGTTCTTGCTCCTCAAGGTCAAATAACAGGATGTTTGACCAAAGATGTAGCTACTTGATATCTTGCTCTTCAAGACCAAATAACTTAAGTAAGGCATGGTTGCTAGATGTTTTGAAAATTAAGGAGGTGGTTACACTGGTTTGTTCCTTGAACCATAGTAAGGAAGTCTTTTGCCCTACCCTTTTGCTTTGGGTATAAAAGGGCTATGGGAAATAAATTCAGGCTGCTACAGTATGCACCGAGAGCCCTCCTGATTCTATCTTCTGTATTTTGCCTCTTTTCGACAGGTTGGTTGGCCCAACATCACACACACACACACACACACACACACACACACACACACACACACGTTATGACCTAGCTTGTTTCTTCCCTGCTCACTCTTTAACCCTACAGAATTCTCACCACACTCTGAGCTCACATTTTCTTAGCTAAGGAATGGCAGTTGTGTGGTCTAAGGGATATGAATAAAGGTAATGCATTGTTTATTCTGCATCTTCCTCCTCCTGCTTTTTATTTATTTGGGTACAGGCTCTTATGTAGCCCAGGCTGGCCCTGAACTCACTTCATAATTGAGGATGACGAATTTCTTATCTTCCTGCCATCACCTACCTCTCTTGTGCTGGAATGGAGCTGAAGGCTGGATCTGCCAAGTGAGCACCCTGTCTGTTCAGCCAATGCTTTTTAAAGGGAATACTTTTATTTGTTGTTTGACAGTTTCCCACATATAAACAGTGTATCTAGATTCTATCCACCCTAATGCCCCTTCCCACACACCCCTTGCACTCCAACGTAACCTCAACCTCTCTCTTTCTATTGCTATTGTTATTGCTGACCCTAGAGTCTGGTCAGTGATGGTGCTGGGATGCTGCCCAGGCTTTGCAGCATCTGCACCACGTGCTCTGTGAACACAGAGATGATGGCCCATCTGCACCTGCAGAGCTCTCAGACTCATAGTTATCCTTGAGGCTATCAGTGTGTGGGAAGGTACACTAGAAAAACTGAGCCCCAACCACGGCAAATATGGTGCAGAGCCAGGTGGAAGGAGAGAGGTAGGGAAGACTTCTTGGGGGCTAGATCTGCACTGTCCACAAAGAAGCAGACTTGCTGGCCCCTGGCCAGAGGCTATCCAGAACTGACCCTGAATGTGGGATGAGCTGCTTTCAGCGCTGACCTGTAGAAGGCAGTCTGGGTGGTGCAATACTCTGCATGCCTTCTTGGATTTATTGCCCGTGACTAGGCCCTACCTTGGTCATTAAAACCAAAAGCAGTTGGAGTTTCCCCAGCATGGTCAGTATGCTGCTGCCTCGCTCCTCAACCCTCTCAGGACACATTAAGTTCTGCTTCCTGACCTTAGCTGTCCTTGTGGTCCTGGCTCACACTTCCCCAGGTAACTAAAATGGTGGTGAGGAGGGGAAGGGAGAGTTACAGCCTGCCCACAGGATCTTTGAGAAAGTGCACCCTGTAGGGGTTGCTGATGTCTGGTGAGAGGGTCATGCTATGCTTGTGTCTTTGGGACTGGCATGTTGCGTGGTGGTGAAGTTGCCTAGGGAATGGTGAGTAAGGCTCTGAGTTCAACCTCCAGTGCTGGGAGGAAGGAGGGGAGGGAGGAGGGGAGGAAGAGGAGAAGGAGTGAATGATGGGAAGGAAGAAAGAAGGGAGGGAGGAGGGGAAGAAGGGAGGAAGGGAGGGAAGAAGGGAGGGAAGGAGGGAGGGAGGAAAAGAGGGAGGGAAGGAGGGAGGGAAGGAGGAAGGAAAGAAGGAAAAGGGGGATGGGGGTGCAGGAAGGGATGAAAGAGAGAAGGCCGAGAACAGAGGAGGGAGGAGAAGAGAGGAGGAAAACAGGACTGAGGAGGGTATAAGGGAGAAGGGAATAGAGGAAGGTAGGAGGCATTAGGAGAGGGAGAAGAGAAGAGGGGGAGGGCAGAGGGCGGGATGTGCTTTCCTATGGGCTGCCTGTGGCCAGCGATGCTTCTCTTTAAGGGGACTGGAGAACGCAAGCAGAGAGCATGCAAGTGCCTCGACCAAGGTCCCTATGGCATCATTGCCTCTGCTTCCAGTGTCTGATCCCAGTCTCTCACTTCAGTGCCCTCCACTGGTACCGTGCCTTACAGTAGCCAGTGTATTGGCTTCATCACCTCCTCAAAGCAAGCAGAGGAGGCATCTTGTTCTCAGAATACGTGGTGGGAAATGTGTGGGTGGACGTTGGGGGCCTACAGGCTCAGAGTAGGCTAAAGGCATGGAGCTATTGTCAGGGAAGGAGAGTCTGGATTTCAGATTGAACATGTGTGTAGCAGCCACAGAAGGTCAGAGTCTTCACACAATAATAGTATTATTAATAATAATTAATTGGGACAGGGGCTTACTATATGTCCCTGGTTGTCCTGGAATTCACTATGTAAAAAAAAAAAACTGTCCTTGAACTCTGAGATCCACTTGCTTCTGCCTTCCAAGTTTTGGGATTAAAGGCATGTACCACCATGCCTGGTGCCACCTTAATTTTTGAGACAGCATTCTCTAAACCTGGAATTTAGAGATGGGCCGAGCCAGTGAGCCCCGGGTATCTACCCATTTCTATTCCCCCTCCGATGGGGTTACAGATGTGCGCAGCTGTGCCCAACTTTTATGTGGACACTGGCTGCTCACACCCTCATGCTTGTGCAGCAAGTACTTCACCCACTGAGTCATCTCCCCACCCCAACTTTATGATTCTCAGTGGTGTCATTTGCTGTTGGGTCAACTTTACAAGGTGAAGGTCTTTGTCAATAATTTGTTGGTTGTCCTAGAGAAAGGGGGGAGGGGAGGAAGAAAAAGTCTATTCTTGGTTAGCATCGATTGTAAGCTGGATTAAATTCCAGAGAGGATGACTAGGGCAGAGGAGGGTGCCACAGTTGTGAGACACTTCAGAGAATGCCAGCACGAGGGCTCATGGAATACTGACATGGAAAAGTAAGTTGACATGAGCTTGGTTTTTCTAGTTAGAGTGCCCTGGTGAGAGAGAGCTCCAGCTTACTTCCTAGGAGGGGACTTGGGGAGAGACAAGTAGAGAGAATTCGCAATTTACACGGGGGTATCAACACTCACAGATCCCCCTGTTCTCACGGGCCTGCCAACATCCCCAGGATACATAATTGTGTCCTCTTCACATAGCTCAGGATTCCTCTCTGTTCATTTTCATAGACGGATGGCTCAAAACGTGCTTTTATGGGCTGGGCAAATGCAGACATGAATGCAAGGCAAATGAGAAGAAGAAGGAGAGGTGTGGGGACTTCACTATTTGCTGTGTTCCAATATTAAAGTCGAAACTGTCCACCTTACATCGGACAAAGAAAGGTATGTATCCATCTCAGACTTCCAGCTTCAGAGCTTCAAGGGTCATCATGACACATCAGTGACACTCGCAATACCCTGTGCTAATCTTCAATTGTTGCTGGGGCTTCAGAGGGCTCATTAGTCAATGTTCATTGCAAGGAATATGAGGTGCAGATCCACAGGGCATCTACATAAGCAAGCACCCAGTGCTAGCATTGACCCCAGCACTGAGGCAAAGGAGTTCATTTCAACTATCAGCCCATTCTCTAGCAACTTTCTAGGTTGGATAACAGGGTCGATAATATCAGTTGATAATATCAGTTTGTGTAGCATGAGAACTTGGTGGCATCTAATTCCTGTATCCCTGAGCCTCTGATCAGAAACTTCCAGGTCCCTGAAAGTTACAGGTGAATGTAAATTGCACTTTGGCTGCAAATACTTATGTGATGTCTCATCCTAGAGAGACAGGCTGGGCCAATAGGATCCAGAAGGTCTCCTCTTGCCTCTTTAGCTTAATGTTCTACCCCAGCTTTGCTTTATGGCCTTTCAGAATTGATTGCTTACTGCCCCCTAGCCCCCAAGTCCCTAATCACAGAGGACTGTCCAAAGATAGTCATGTCCAATGACCATGAGGCAACCACTCCTGCCCTAAGAAGATAGGAGGCCAAACCAGTAAAAACAAAGCAAAGCAAAACAAACAAAAACAGCTTAGCCTAAACTGAAATTTTTTTATGTGCAAGGAATAAATACGATGCCCCTTTCCCAGAAGAGGAAATGAAGTTGCATGTTTGAAGGGGTTAGCCCTTCAATGCACTCTACATCATTTTACATTAGTTGTCCTTTCCTCCATTGTAACCCTACAAGGGTGAATTTCACTGGATACCCTTGGGCTATCTAGAGAGTGTAGTCGATGACTGTAGCTCCCTGCTGTTGGTCTCAGAAACTACACAGGGTTGGGCCTGGTTATTACTTGAATGGCAGAATGAACTAGAGACTGGGTCTTGGGTTGTCTAACTCTTAGAGCGATGCAGTGGTGTTATAGCCCCGCTGAGCTAGGGAAGTAGGCCAGGCTCCCCCAAGATACCAAGAAAATACCTAGAGTTGTCCTGTGAGTTGGAGGCCTTGTTGAAATCGCTGACAGGGTGAGTCCAGTGGCAATGCATAGGGCAGATAGTCCTGCCAGAGTCCAGTGGCAGCGGGATGGACATTGGGTACAAAGAGAGAGGCTTCCTGGGTTAGCATGTGCAAGCCTTGGCCCTGTTTTTGCCTCCAGTCACTGTGTCCAGACTCCAAAGACATATGTAACGCTTGCATGCCCAGTTTCCAAGGTTATTGTGGGGTGTTAATGTACTAGGCACCCCAATCTTGTCCTAAACTCAGTGATCTTCCATCTTTGGCAAGATCCTTGGGAACAAAAAGAGGATGTTTTGGACCCATATTATTGGGTGTCCTACTTTTCCCAAGGAGCACACACTGCGCCAACATGTCTCCAGACCCACAGTTACAAAGAAGCAAAGAGGGTGTGGAGGGAATCTGGAGGCTGAGCCTCCTTACCAACTGTGGGCTTCCGCTTATCTCTGAAATAGGAGTAAAATGGGAGTGTTAGGGTGGGCCCTCACTCTCTTTGGTTAGTGTTCTTGTGAGAGGAGGTTCAGACCTAATTATTTCCAACAATTATGACACACAGGAGAGTCTTGTTAAGATCCAGGGAGATCCTGGGCATCGGGGAGCCAAGAAGAGATGCTGAAAAGAAGCAACTCTGCTGATATTTGCCCTTTGGACTTTGTCCCTAAAATTGTGAGAAAATAAACTTCTGTTGTTCAAATCACCCAGATGTGGTACTTTTTAATGATAGTCCTGGTAAATGAATGCAAACATTCTATGACGTTTGTGTCCTAAAGGTTGCGCACGCCCAAAGGTTGCCCACGCCTCCCAGCACTCGGGAGGCAGAGGCAGGCGGATCTCTGTGAGTTCAAGGCCGGGCTGGACCGACAGCCTCCAAAACAATACAGAGAAACCCTGTCTTGTAAAAAACAAACAAACAAACAACAAAAAAAAAGGTTGCCCGGAAATCCAAATCTGAAAATTTTAGTTTTGCTTCAAAAACCTTTTAAAGTGGGGTTTGAGATGGTTCAGTTGGTAAAGGGCTTGCTGTAAGCCTGAGGGCCTACACTTGATTCTCAGAACTCATAGAAAAGCTTGTTTCTGTCAATCCTGGTGTTGGGGAGCAGCAATGAGAGGCTCACTGGATGGCCAGGCTTGCCTACTTGCTGAGTTCCAGGCTAGTGGGAGACTTAGGCTCATAAAAGAATTAGAAGGTAGCTTGGGTAGCACGACTGAGGGGTTGGCTCGGTAAGAAGTGGCTGTGACTTGCTTTGCCTCTCTGATCTTTCAGCATTTACCCCTATATCTGACTCTGGGTTCTAAGACCAATTAAAATTCTCAATACAGTGTAGCAATCTTGCCGGTGAACCTGTAAAGATGGTGGACAGAAACAGAAAGAGGGAAGCTTGAGGTGTGGCTTCTTTTTGCTTGGTCTTTCTTTTGGGTCAGCCAATCTGATAGGTAAGGGCAGAGAAACGTCCCCTTAGTTCTTTAATGTTATCTGTGTAAGTGTTCCCCAATAAACACCCATTTATCATTTATCTTGGGTCTAGTGAAATCTTTACACCACGCCTTCAATTGGCCCTCCACATGGGTGGGTGGATTCCCACGACCAGCCCAGATAGGCCCACTCGGCTGAACTACTACTGGTCTAGTGATTGGGGTTCGGTCCTCTCACCGCCTCAGTCTAGCCAGCCAGAATTGCACGAGCCAGAGTCAACTACACCCAACCTCACTCCATTCTGGTGGCCCTAGGCTTTTTGTACTTTGTGCCAGCCCCTGAGTTTGCGGAACAGTTTCTGCGGCCTATTCCCAGGAAAATCTGGTACTTCCCGCATGCTCTGCGTGCTGCGGATTTACCAGCACACAAGCGTGGAAAACAGACAAAAGTTTCTCTGAGCCTCTGCAGCAGTAAGGAGCTTCTAGGTACCAAAGCAAGGCAACAATTACCCAGACCTCCACGTTCCAGGATCTACTTAAGGTACAATTAACTACCCCACAACAATGGCAGATAATATTACTATACAGGCAGTAAAAAACCTTTTTGTTTCTCATATGGATGGGATTTTAGGATAGGTTTACGATTTACCTAGAACTTAGTTACTATTATCCCTGGCTGGTATTAGCTTGATAATCCATATAATATCCTTAAAGAAATGGTTTGATATTAGAGCAAAGAATGAGGAGCTTATAGAAACCACGCAGACTTTACAGACTGGTAATGAAAACAGTAAAAAAGAATTCAGACCATTGAAAACAAGAATGATGATTCAACAAGCAGAATGCAAAAAATGAAACATAATATTGAATGCTAACAGAAAAAAACTTGTTCCATGTCTGAGATTAATAACAATCTAGCAGATAGAACATTATTTTTGGAAGGCAATCTATATGCCATCCAGATAATCTCTAAGGATGAGAATATTAAATCTCTAGAATCATATAAATGATGAGAACAAGAAACCGACTGATTTAATGAAATCCTTAGATGTTTATACTGTCCAGGAAATCCAAACACTCCAGGAAACAATGGTGAATAGATTACAGGCTATAGAAACCCTTAAAACTGATACACCGGGATCTGAGGTACAGACAAAAGAGAATGAGGGATTTAGCATTACCAGTGTTGTTATTTTTGCTTTAGTTTCAGCTGTGGCTGTGAAACAGGAACCATGAAAGTCAATGAACCCATGTGGAGATTATTGGACGCATAGGTGTTGGCTAACCAGGGAACAGAGATGGAGGAGGGAAAGGAATGGGGGACAAAGGGAAGGGGGGAGCAGGAATAAGAAGGGGTGAACAGGCGGGAGGTGTTCACTTAAAAGGGGAAGCTTGCACATGCATACAGAGTCCTTATGCAGCCACGTAACGCATGATGTAGCCATGGCACAGCCACACAATACAGGGCTCTTTGAGCTGTGTAAGTATCTGCCTGAATGCCGGTGTGCATACCCTGCAGATTGTCAGGGGGGTGGGGTCAGCATAATGCCAGGGTACCAACAACCACTACTTTTCAGAGTCAGAGATGACTTAGCAAAGGTCATAACATCATCTCCTGAGGTCAGAACTGAATTTCAGAACCAGCTGAAACAGGAATGAGAACAGGATTGAACTAGTTGGAACTGGATTGAAGTGGCTTAAACCAGACTGAACCAGTCGGAGCCAGGTTGAGCTGGATTTTGCTGGTCAGAACTGGATTGAATGGGTTGGAACCAGATTGAACCAAACTGAACTGGACTGAACTGGTAAGAGACAGTCTTAGTTGGATTTAACTGGATTGACTCTACCTCTTTTTTTTTTTTTTGACAGAGTCTCATGTATCTGAGGCCTGTTTGGAAGTCACTATGTAGTCTGTGATGAACTTGAGCTCCTGATCCTCCTGCCTCCACTTCCAGCACCTTGCGGACTGTTGGGACTATAGCTGTGCAACATCATGTCCAGTTTCCCAACATCTCTTTGGAGGCAGGGTCTCTCACTGACCATGGGGTTCATCCCCTCAGCTGGGCTGGCTGCACAGTGAACTTCATGTCTTCCCATTCTCACCGCCCCAGCTGGCGTCACAGATGTGCCTCACCACACCTGGCTTCCCCCCCTCCCCACTTCATGTGGGTGCTGGGCATCTGAACTCAAGGCCTCATGTTTGCACAGTAGGCATTTTACTGACTGAGCCACCATCCCGGCCCTTAGCCAAGTTATATTCTTATTTCATCATGGTCCTCACTACACTCTCATGTCTTGAGAGCAAGAGGCAATGGCTCTCAGCTGCATTTTTCTCTGAGTGAGGTGGTGTGCGGCATGCAAATGAGGATTCTGCTTTCTAAGAGTTGAGCTGGGACTCTGAAGACTGGTTTTGGCTTTTTTCTTCCTGAGAACTCATTCAGACTGATTTGAGTCTACTTTCTGTAAACAAATTAGAATCTTCCTGATTGTGAGATTTGCAGGTGCTCCAATGAAGTATTGGTTATTCAGTGGCAAGCAATTTGGAGGCATGGCAGCTGGGACTCACTGGGGTTGATGTGACCTGCAGCTTCCTGAAAGCAGAGGGCCACTTTTTAAAACTAGGAACACTCTAATCTTCTATCTAAGTCCCTTAGCCTCACGTCTTCCATTGAGACCCCATGTAACAAGGTTCTATAACCTCCTATGACAGTATCACAAGTGCTCAAATACTTGAGCCTGTGGGAGGGTACTTAATACTGAGACTATAATTCATGTAACAGCCTTAATATCGGTAACAATGAACCATAGGAACAATCGAACACAATTCTTGTCTTCTAAAGAGTTCTTACTATCAGGCTTACCACTTAGCACATGATTTTAATCCCAGCACTTAGGAGGCAGAGAAAGGTGGATCTCTGTGAGTTCAAGGCCAGCCTGGTCTACAGAGTGAGTTCCAGGACAGTCAGGGTTACACAAAGAAACCTATCTTGAAAAAACAAAACAAACCAGCAAAAAAAGAGTTCTGAATAAGAACATTTACTTTCCCCCCAAAACTTCAAAGCTTGAGCGGCATCCATTCAGTGTGAATGTGGCTCTTGCAAACATGTGGTGAGTAG